GTAAAGCCGCAAGCCCCGATGTGGTATTCGCGGGAGGGAAGTGTGCTGGAGTTGGATGAATGGGCCGGGTCTCTGCTCACCTTAAAGCCTTTGTGAAAAAAAACTTTGGTAAAACAAAAAGGGGGAATTATGGCATCCAATCATTATTAGCCAGCTGGATTGAGTAGAAGATAATGAACTAATGAAACTAATTAACTCAAGGTACTGATCCTGCCTACAAGAGGCAGGCCATTTCCTCCTGGCTGTGGAAGATGCAACAGTGTCCTTGGTGCCACAGCCCAGGCTGGTGAGCAACACATCGAGGGTGGAGTTTAGCTCATGGATTAAAACACCCATACTAAGGACACTGTTTCAGCTTCTCACGCTATAGTGTCTGGTGTCATTTCAGATGCCTTAAGATATTCTTCCTGGCCTCTAGTTGCTCATCCAGAAAGGTCAAGGCCTCCCATAAGGCCTGTGTCCTTTTAGCTCTATGCAGACACTTTGGGGCACTTCACAGGGTACTTATGTGTGGGTCACTGACGGGAGCCCTGAGGTCAGTATGTGGTGGTTTGAGCTCTTAGCACAATCAATGGAGAGCTGGTCAACATAGTTAGCAGAGCCCAGAGGGCTCTTTATCAACTACATCCACTGGTAGGCATCTTGCTCTGGCATTGTTCACCTGTTGCATTGTGGGTAGAGTGTAGTGTGGTTCTTCCAGTGTTGGAAAATAATTAAAAAAAACCCAAACAAACAGAAAGGAGGCTCACTTTGTTTCCTTTTCTCTTTAAATTCTTACTTTATTGAGAAGATATTACAAACTATCAGCCCTGATTTTCCCCAGAAGCTAGGACACTCACACTGCCCATGGTCAATGGTGGAAGATCCCGTGACGTCCAGGAAAGCTACCAGCATTGACTCACCATCCTGTCTCTGTGCAGGACACAACCCTGCCTAGAGAGGCGGGTGCTCCAGAGTAGGCAGTGCAGACAACAAGCAGCCTGGGTCTGAAGTGTCACAGCAGGTAGCTGCCCAAAGTCATGCTGCATGACTTCCAGCTACCTCTAAGAGGATGCCATCTGCAAAACACCCTGGGAGAAGACGGTGATGTGTGCCTTAGGAATGGGGAGGGGACTTCTTTCCTTACACAAAACCAGAGAGGTAGAGCTACTATCTCACCATGGAACACTTTTCCACTTGCCTTTTGGACTCTACATATTACAGCAATACAACGAACCCCAACAACGACCCCATCTTTGCTTGGCAGTGTCCAGGTGGCCATGTAGCAGTGCTGCAGAGATATCCTGGGGAGTGGCTCAGCGGATTGTGGATTCCCTCCACATTTCTATTCACCAGAGACTTTCAAGACACAAAGATCCATCTGACCAGGGAAAGCTCAAACAAAATCACCAGCAGTGAATAATAAAGACCGCTGAACTGTCCATGCTTTTGAGCAGCTGCACAGAACCCTTTACATGAGGGAGAGGAAGGGAAAACATTCCAACAGGGAAATATCTTCCAGTTCTCTATTCTATAAAGTATGAAGACTTTTTTCAACTATTCCTGATGCTTGGTTTGAATTCCCTAAACCATGCCAAATAAAGTCAACATCCTACCACAAGCTTCACAGTAACAGGTGGGAGAAGCAGGTGGCTAAGAACCAGCACTGGTGTTACTCAAGCTGGTGAAGTCACTGATGTCACTGTGGTGGCAAAGCCACCTGCTCATCAGAGATGCAAAACTTGATGCTAAGAAAAGCCATTCTCAAACCAGAACACCATCTGCGGGCCTCTGGGCTAGCTTTGGAAAAACAGTCACTGATTTTGCATAACTTACTTTTAGGGACCTGGCGTAAGCCAATCTGGGACACCAGTTTGGGGCATTTGAGGTTTAAAACCCTGGTCTGGCTGGAAGTAATTTCTCCCAGTTCTGTACTATCCAGTTGACTAGGGTCCATCAGACCGGTAGGATCAAGGTGTGGATCAGAGCTACATGTGGAGAAAGAAGAGAGTTAGCCCTTGCTTTGAACTTTTGCCTAGATGGGAAAAGTTCCTTTCAACTTTCTCAGAAACACAGCAATGGAATAAAAATTAATCCTACATGGTCCTCCTGGCTCTATATTGCTCACAAAAGACAATTTTGGCATCCACCACTTTGGCAGCCTTTAGAGGCACAAGCATATCATTACGAAGGATGCCAAGCTCTTATCCCCTCCATCTCCAAGTGTTCTGAGGAGGTTTGGCTCTCCAACCCCAACTCACAGCTGTGAGCAAACAATATCCCAAGGGTTGTCCTCAGAAAAGCTGCAGAAAACTTTGCCCCCTTGACTTCACCATCCCCTCAGGCTGACCTCCCCACCCCCAGATACTGCACACGTAAGGCAAGCAGAGTTTGTCTCCATCCCTCCCCTTTCCCAAAGGACTTTCTCCCAGGAGAAAGTGGCACCACACCCACTCAGCTCTCCTCTTCGTTTTTCGTGGGGGCCAGTGCTCTCTCTTCAGCATGGTGGGGTCCACCGTCAGTCCTTGTGGCCTCCCCCTGTTTCACGCGGGGAGCGGTTCCTTCCCGCATGTGGATTTTCTGGTGCCTCCTCAGGTACTTCTTCAGCCGGTAGCGCTTCCCACAGACCCCACACTTGTAGGCGCCACCTCGGGAGTGGAGCCGCTGGTGTTTGACAAGGTGGCGCTTCTGGGGGAAGCACTTCCCACACTTGGTGCACTTGCAAGGCCCAATGCGGACGTGGATTGCTTGGTGACGGAAGAGGTTGGTCTTTTGGTTGAAGGTCTTCTCGCACTCCGGGCACTGGTAGGGCTCCTCCTTGGTGTGGATCTTCTGATGCCGAACCAGGTTGAACCGCTGGGTGAAGCTCTTCCCGCACTCGGTGCATTTGAAGGGCTCGCTCACGTGGACTCGCTGGTGGCGGATCAGCTTGCGGTTCATGCGGAAGCTCTCCCCACACTCACTGCACTTGTACGGCCCCTCACTCATGTGGATCTTCCTGTGTCTGGTCAGGTTCGACTTCTGATTGAAACTCTTCCCACACTCAGGACAGGGGAATATCTGTTCACCCCTGGGAGAGCCTTTTGCTGAAGGATCATTCTTGGACATGGATTTCTCCTGGTTCTCCAGAATCCCCCCTTTGGTGGGCTGATGGCATTTCTTCTGCTTTGTCTTTGGGCTCTGGCTCTCCTGGTGATTGGCCTCCACACCAGGTTCCTCTTTAACTTGCATCCTCTGGATAGCACTGAGGTTTGGCTTCTGCCCACGATGCATCCCAAACGTAATGCTTTCCTGTGGTTCTTCCTTCACATGGAGCAACAGGTTACTGGCTACGGGGACTTCCCGCTCGTGCTGCCCATTAGCATCTTCTTCCTTTTTAAGCTGTCTCCCCTGTAAAGCTGTCGGTGGGATCTTTGGATCAAAGAGCTTTCCACAGTCTGGGTTTTCTGGTGGCTCTTTCTTGATGTCAAGTTTCTGGCAGGCTATTGTGGCAATGTTTACTGTGTCATCAGTGGGTGATTCTGGTTCCTCCTTCATCTGGATTTTGCAAGGAGGACATTTTTGATTAGATGAGTTTCTAGGTATGCTACACTCCTGGGCTACATCTCCTTCATAGGACATATTCTCCAATATATTATCCTCTGACCTGAAGGCAAAATGGGGATCTTTAATTTGGATGACCTGGAGAGACAAACTATTGATGTGTTCCTCGAGTAGTTTTTGCTTAGCATGGTTCCTCTGGTGGATATTGAAATAGCACTTGGTGCTCAAGCTCTTCCCACACTCAGTACAAATGAAAGGCCCCCCCCGGAGATGTATCTTCTGATGGGCCAGCAGTGTGGCACTTTGCCCAAAGCATCTGCTGCAGTCGGGGCATTTGAAGGGCTTCTCCTGCTTGTGGATCTCGCTGTGGATGGTGAGGGTCCCCTTCTTCACGAAGCTCTTCCCACACTCGGTGCAGGCGAACGGCCTCTTCTCCGTGTGCGTCCGCATGTGGATGTTGAAGTAGATCTTTGTGCTCAGGCTCTTGCCGCAGTGGTTGCACAGGTAGGGACCACCCTTGGCGTGTGTCTTCCGGTGGGCGGCCAGGCATAGCTCCAGGCGGAAGCAGCGCCCGCACTCCCTGCAGCAGAAGGGCCTCTCTCCCGTGTGGATGCTCTGGTGGGTCGTGAGGTGGCCCCGGGTGGTGAACCGCTTCCCACACTCCTCGCAAGCGAAGAGCTTCTCTGCCGTGTGGATCCGCTGGTGCCTCGTCAGGCTTCCCTTCGTGCTGAAGGATTTGCCACACTCCTGACACAGGTGCATCTTCAGCACCGTGTGCTTAACCAAGTCCTTCGTGGCAGCAGCACCCTGCACCCAGCAGTGCGTGATGAGGCTGCCAAGCAGCTGGCAGGTACGTTATGGGGATGAACTGTCTGGGAGGGTACACAAACTATCAGGACACGTGCACCAAAGTGCACTTTAACGGAGGAACTTTATTCCCCATGGGGGAAAGGGTGCTGCTGCTGTACGCGAGCTCTGGGCCGACAAGGAGTGGGTGGTCTTCTTCACTTCTCAGCCTCCTTCCACCTCAGCTTGCAGACATGATGTTTGTGACTCCATCCCCTGCCTCCTCTGATATCCTGGAGATGCTTCTCTGGCATTAGAGTCAGATTGCCGGACTGAAAAAATAAAGGGAAAATTACTGAGGCATGACTTCTTCTCCACCTACTGTGTTTGCTATGTAAACACAACGGGTGGCACCTTGGCTGCTCCATGAGAGTCTGAACCTGAGACCTCTGAAGCCACCGGCTCCTGCAGACTCCAACAGAGAGCAGGAACAGGCTGATTTCCCCTGGGGATGGGGGGATCTGTGATGCACTGCTGCCACACTGACACTGAGGTTTCAATAGAAACACTATTTCTGCACTAGTGATGTACTCTCAGAACGGTCCTCTGTCCTTTGACCAAGAAGATTTATAAGTAAATAAGTTAACTCATTAATGCACTTTGCAATACTTCTTGTAATTAGTCCCATTTTTGGAACTAATTTTTGAGGAGTGACTGTGCAGCAACCAAAATCCCCAAAACCTAGAAGAAAATCAAACCGGGCACCGTTTGCAAACTGGGATGTGCAGCTTTGTACTGGCAGACCTCCACGCACAGGAGAAGACGTAGCAGTAGGGTCCTCAGCGGGCAGCTGGAGAAGTGAGACATGGAAGCCTTAAGTGACTTTATCCTTTTCAAGAGGGTTCAACTGACAGCAGGGTCTGGCTTTTATGTATTTCCATTAGAAAAAAAGAATAAATTGAAGCCAACAGAGATGTGAGCAACATCTCCTCTCAAGACTGTGAACTGCAGCAGGGAAAAGAGCCAGAAAGTCCAAGGGGAGGAAGACAGTGGTGCTGGAAATGACTGTCAACAAGAGTATAGGTGGCTGGGTGGGCTTTTACTGATGGTACTGATGGCTGAAGGTGCCGCTGCCAAAATCATCAGTTATGGGATAGGCTACCAGCAAGGACACGAGCTGTCAGTGAAATCTGTCCCTGGAGGTCTGGGTCACTGGTAAGGCTGTGGTTGAGAAGATGAGTACCTGGGGAGCCTGTTACCAAGGTGTAGGGGGCTGGGGAGGGGCAATGCCATGGATCAGGGGACAAGGATTGGGAGATTTGGAGTATAAACACACAAACACAACTGCAACACAGAGATGGCAACTCCACGCTCCTCAGAGGAGAAAGGTCAGTAGTAAATAGTTGTGGCTGCCCCATCCCTGGAAGTGTTGAAGGCCAGGTTAGATAAGGCTTTGGGCAAGCTGGTGTAGTGGAGGATTTCTCTGCCCATGGCAGGGGGGTTGGAACTAGATGATCTTTAAGGTCCCTTCCAACCCAAACCATTCTGTGATTCTATGATTCTATGATAAATGAGCTGGGCAGCCATTTCGGCGGACAGTTATAATGGAGAAAGTTACTTCAGATTTAGTCATGCCACTTGTGTTTACCCCTTCAGCTGACCCTAATGGATTGAGAGCAGCCCTGAGGAAAAGGACTTGGGAGTGCTGGTGGGTGAGAAGCTCAACATGAGCCGGCAATGTGCACTTGCAGCCCAGAAAGCCAACCGTGTCCTGGGCTGCATCCAAAGCAGCGTGGGCAGCAGATCAAGGGAGGTGATTCTGCCCCTCTGCTCTGCTCTCTTAAGACCCCACCTGGAACACTGTGTTCAGTTCTGGAGTTCCCAACACAAGAAGGACATGGAGCTGCAGGAGTGAGTCCAGAGGAGGGCCATGAAGATGATCCAAGGGCTGGAGGACCTCTCCTATGACA